AACGTGTAATATTTATATCCGACGAGAATTCCCGATTCAGTTGTCATAGGAATGAAGCTATCGTACCCGCGACCGCACCACGCAAAGAGAGAAAGAAATACATGTACATATATCGTAAAAGTTAGATTAAGATGAAATTGAAATGACGCGAGGGCCCTCGGTTTCTTCGAAACTCTATCGCGGTACGATCGACCGACTTTAAAATTTGTGCTCGACGCGATGCAAGTGACAGGTATCCCGGTGTGCGCGGATCGCGATAATGTTACATAATTCACGATTACGTTCCGTAACTTCTCAGTTGCTTGTACATACACGCCCGGAAGTTCGTTCTCCGGCGGCTTGCGAATTCTCGGGTGGTAAACCCGAATTATTTTCGGATGCTAACTAACAGCACGCTTAGATAGACGCACCTCTCCTGTTCGTATATATTTCACGCTGCGGTGGAATGTGCGGCAACAACAGTGATCGATGATAAGATAATGTAACGCATAGGACGCTGCGCTGGAAACAAAGATAACAAAAAACGGACGGAAAATAAGGAAAGAAATTCAAGAGATGAAAAAGGATATAAATAATAAATAATAAAATCAGGCTGATATGAAGACGGAATAAATATAATTAAAATTCAAGAATTATATCGAAGAAGAAAAGTTATTTCGAACGATGTTTTTTTTTGCACGTTCGAGCAACTGATCCCTCGTCACCGCTGATGAACCATACATATCCATGTGCTTACATAAACGCACGTAGCTCGTCTTCTTCCTCTCTTTCTAATTAAAACACATACATATATTTTTTCAATGTGACTTGTCCTATATATCTCGTATATATAACCGTATAGCCTATATTAGACTTATTTATATCTACACACACGTTGTAATCGTGTAAACACGTGCGCGCATACCATACGTTTATTGTCTATATAAACCGCAGGCTGTATTTCGCACGTGTGTATGTACTTCAGAGACAATATGTACGTAGTATATCGATGAGACAAACCCGGATAGCGTATATACCTGTAAGGATTATTTCTTTCATCGTTATCGTACGCAGAATGTTAACAATAATAATAACGTCGACAGTAACAATAACAATTAATGATAACAATAGTAGTAATAATTTAGCACACACGCAGTCGGTTCTTGGCGATGATTCCAAGCGGACAATGCATACAATAAAATTTGTGATAAACGGGAATTGGACATTTGTCTGCGCTTTGCAAAAAAAAGAAAAAGATTCATGACTTTGTCGAGAAATTTTATAACGTATACGCGTCCACAAAGTATGTGATCTAGTGTTGCGACACCACCGGTCCAACGTATTCGATTTATCTCTGACTTTCAGTTTTAAATCTCCGGGGAAGTAAATGACGCCATTTAATCAATCGCGCCGGGAAGGAGTGGATTAAACGTAGCTTGCGTTTTTATCGAGCTTGTTGGACAAAAAACGAGGCAAATCGCGGTCGTTTGCGGCGAAAAATTACGAGGAACACAAATATTATATTTGACGTCGATCGATTTCACTGGTATATAAAACCAGTCATTTAAACGAATTGAAATTCCAAATCGTTATTTGTATCATTGAAAAACAAAGGTGAAATATCCTTTATAAAAACTGAAATACGTTCATATTTATATAGAAAATTTGTAACTTAAGACATTAAACACGGAATGTACGATGGGAACATATTTTATATCCCGCGCTAGATATCCAATTATTCGCATAAAAGAAAACGAAGCTTAATATATAGGGCGTCCTGAAAAAAAGATATACAGAATAATTATTTAAAAATGCGAATATTTTTAATTATTTTGGCAGAAGAAATACAGTTTGTTCTTAAGTCTAATGTCAATTTTATTTTTGCAAAATTGTAAAACAGCTATTTTATTTCTTTAATTTTTTGCATTAAATATTTCAAATACGCGATCAAATATTGAGAATATTTATTATTATAAGATATATCGATACTTCGGATATTTGATTTTTTCGATTAAGAAAAATGATGAAAATGATAAAGTGCTATTCGCATACGCTTTCTCATGATTACATCCAAAAGGATATCAGAAATCATTATTGTTATATTATAGAGAATAGATGAAATGAATAACAATTTTTTGAATCGAACGTTATGACCGGTTTTTGAATGCAGTTACGAACAAATCGAGTAGTTGTACTTGTGCGCTCTTTGTACAAATACCCCGTAACGTGATCATATCAATGTAACTTAGACTTATAACATATACGTACATTATACAGCTATACATACTGGACGCGCAATATTAAGAAGCAGCTCTTGTATGTTAAATAAACCGAGATTAAATAAAATTGTTGATATGTGATGTTGTAATCGGAAATTCGATACAAAATATGAGACTTTCATCATTTTTTCTTTTTTCTTTGGCGAACGCATTGGAATTATGTACATCGCCGTATCATTAATAAAAATAAATATAATACGGCTTTCTTATCAAATATATATTTCGTTTATTTATCCATTTCTAATTTATCGCAAATTTTCTTTGTATTAAAAAAAGATATTAAAATTATTGATGAGATAATATTAAAATCTTTAATAATACTCGATCGATAAAATCTTTTTCCTCTCTTTATCTTCTTTTTATTAAGAATTGAAGATACTTTAATAAAACAATTTTTTTGTAAAAATTATTTTTACTATATGGGTATTACTCTCTCTGGCGTTATCTAACAGAAGTCCTTTGCATTTATCTTACAGTTTCATTTCTAGATTGCGAATTTGCCAACTGTACGTACAAACATACTCATTGAAGATACCTACTATTTCGACTGTTAATACATTTCTAATATGCTCTCTCGTGTCTTTTTTTTTCAAATAAATTATATTTAATTTAATAGAATATATATATGAACACAACATAAAATAAGTTAATATCTGTTAAAGTACGTGTTATTTTGACATTGTAAATTAAAGCAGTTATAAAAAAATATTTAAAACCATGTAATTTAGAAAAAAATTTATCCCAGATTTAGTAAAAAAAAAATTGAGGTTTAAAGAAAATGCGCAATGTTTGGAGGAATATGTATTTTACATAAAGCATCTATAATATATTTGTGTATATATGTAAATTGATAATGATATAGCTTTTTGTGTGCATTTCTTATAAAATAAAGTAGGGATGAAGACGTACGATTGCGTACGATTTATGTCTAAATGTGCGTGTGTATGCGTGTATGCATATACATGTGTGTATGCATGTATGTATGTATGAATGTAGGTCTATTTAAAACCCAGGAATCCATAGTACATTGTTATTTTTAGCAATATATACATTACATACATAATTCATATAATACCTATATACAATTAAAAACTGGAAAAAGAAAACTAGTCAGCATAATTTTTCCCAGCTGCACTATAAGCTAATAATTGCTTTGTCTTTCCCATTTTTTATCATGCATCATAATTCATCAGAAGCTTCATTATAGACAAATTCTGTGGTTTTATCGCAATAATTTACAATAGCACGTAACGTTTACATCGTACACGACGTTAAAAAATATCATACATCTAACAAAATAAGCATTTTTCTTACATTCACTATAGGTTTTCACTCGCATATCTGATATCTTATAAGAAATAGGACATTATCCAAGTAGAACACAGAAGTCATGAGGACATCATCATGACCTCATTCGTCACTTATAAGTCAATTTTTTGGTATCAAATGACATCATGACGACGTGATACCTTTATGATTTAATTATGACTCCGTGTTCTACCTAGGTATATTAAAACAAATCAAAAAGATTCCCTGAAACTGCAAAACCTCGAAATTAGATATTGATATTTTACGATTAATTATTATATAGTTTGCATTGAGAGAAAGCGATTAATCTGCGACTAACTCAAGAAAGAAATATACTAAAAACAATTAGCTTTACTAAAATTCTTACAATTATGTCTTTGGGTTTATAAACAAAAAAATTAATTTTATATTTTAATTTCATTTTTAATTTTATTATTTTTAAAGCACATTTCTTCATGTGATTATGAAATGTTCAAATATATGAATAAACCAAATAGTGATATTTCCGTAAGAAAAATTTTGATACTAAAAGCTGAAGTATACTTTGAAGAAAAGTGCGCGAAATACAATTAGTTTTTCAACTCCACTGTCAAGTCTTTTATATTTATATTCTTGTCTTCACTTTAACTCGCTCGTTTCACGACTTCGTGATAAGCATTCAGTTGCACTCAAAAATTTGTATATAAAATGATTTTATTACATATGTATAGGTTTCACGGTAATTTTTATTCAAAAAGATATATTAGAACTGATACTAAAAGTGGAAAACGATGATAAATAATATAAACATTGATTTACATTTTATTTTACAGCTATGATTGTGTAATTATTATATATGTCATATATAGTTATAATATTAATATTGTTAATAACAATATTAATATTATAAAATTATTAATAACTAACAAATCAACTATCGCATTAATCAAAATTAATTAATAAAAATTTCAGATTTCTCATTTCACATATATTTAATATAAATTATTTATTATTTCTTGTTTTATCACATGTACATATAAAATGTATATGCAAATATATACATATAAATTGATTGAAAAGATTATCCAAAAAATCACCGTGTAAACCACCTTTTAAAATTGATTCAATATCATCCTAGTAGCACATTGGCTATACATTGACTAAGATTGGCTAAATATTGGGGATACATTGACCAAGATTTTCAATGTAATGCCAATATTGCTATATAATAAATGCCAATGTATAGCCAATATTGGCTAAATGTGACTATGCGTCTATTTTACAATATTGGATCAATATTGAGTGTACAATTCTTAACCAATGTTTAATATTGGCTGTACATTCTCAATATTGCGCCAATACTTTGTGCTACTAGGGGCAGTGTTTCTTAAAACGAAACTCTCCGACCGGAATTAAAGAGACATTCGCGTTTAAATGTAGCATCTACATATATCGTTCACATAAAACGTGTAGAAACAACCTTCGCTATCTTTTTAAATAAACACTTTTCGGAGGTAAGAAATTAGAAACGATTGTACCACCTGTTTTGTAAAACAACAATTTCATCAATATCCATATGCCGTTCTTTATTGTGTGCGATCGGAATCGAGACGAGAGAAGAAGCGGAAAGATCAGGCGAAGGCGTGTATACGAGTCACCATGTCGTCGTTACCGTGAAGACTTTGGTTACTTCGGTCGTCCTCATAATCCGTTAGTCACATGGAAGGCGGCGGCAGCATAATCTCGTAGCCGGCCGGTACGCTCTGCTGATGATGGTGATGATGATGGGAGCTAGACATCATCTGATGATGAGTCTGCTGGTAATACTGGTGGTGCATACTGGAATGGCTGGAGTAATAAACTGAGCTCTGCTCCACGTCTTTACCTTACGAATTGAAAATATTTAAAATTAGAATGGTAAAAATAAAAACGGGATAGTTTAAAAAAAAATTCAGGAATTCGTATATATTAACGTTATCAATTATAAATGATATTATGCAAAATCATAAAATATAATTCTCTTTTTTTATGTAACTCTGTATATTAGATGAAGTTAAAAAATTAGGAATTAAGAAATTAAGTTTCAAATATTTTAAGTTAATATTATTCAAAATTAAATTAAAAATATATAAATAATATATATACATAAATATATATACATAATATATATACATAAATATATATTATTAAATATATATAGCAAAAGGTCACCGATATCGACATACCACTTTGTTTTTAGACAAT